CGCCTGCCTCAGCCTCTCAAGTAGCTGGGATTACAGGCATGCACCATCACTCCTGGCTAATTTTTGTATTTTTAGTAGAGGCGGGGTTTTGCCATATTGCCCAAGCTGGTCTCGAACTCCTGGCATCATATGATCCACCCACCTTGGCCTCCCAAAGTGCTGGGATTACAGACCTTAGCCACTGCACCTGGCCACTTTGGTTCTTTTTCAAAAAAAGTTTACTGACTCTTGCTTTATTGCAAGGTCAGAATGGATTTGATTTAGGGATTTTTTTTTTTTTTTTTTTAAATCCAGTGCAATCTACTTCCCTTAGGATGTTTGCAGATGACATGATTGTATATTTAGAAAACCCATTGATCTCAAGCCCAAAATCTCCTTAAGCTGATAAGACGACTTCAGGCAAAGTCTCAGGATACCAAAATTAATGTGCAAAAATACAAGCATTCTTATACAGCAGTAACAAGACAAAAGAGAGCCAAATCATGAATGAACTACACACTTCATATGCATTCAAAGAGATAAATACCTAGGGATACACAACTGACAAGGGATGTAAGGATCTTTCAAAGGAGAATACAAACCACTGCTCAGTGAAATACAATAGGAAGAAACATATAAAACAAATAGAGAGGGGAGAACAATAACCGCCCGCTGCCCTCCCTACGGATAAGGAAAGACTCAATAAGTTCTGTGAAAATGTGTCATACTGCCTTCAGGTATTCTATAGATTCTCATGCGCAGGTCCCGCATTAAGGCTATTCCAATGACTTTCTTCACAGAAGTTTGGAAGGCAAAACTGCTTTAAAGTTCATATGGGAACACAAAACAGAGCCCGCATCTCCAAGACAATCCTAAGTCAAAAGAACAAAGCTGGAGGCCATCAACGCCTACCATGACTTCAAACTATCACCTACACAGCGCTTACAGTAACCAACAACAGCATGGGTACTGGTACCCAAGGGTGAACGAGGAGATGACCCTAGATCCAATGGAACAGAAATAAAGAGCCCCTCTCCAGAAAATAATCCCTACATCATCTACAAGCCAATTCTGATCTTTGACAAACCTGAGAAAAACAAGAAATGGGAAACGGATTACACCTAGTGGGTGGGTAGGAGAGGTAAGGTGGTCTCGCGCGGCAAATTGGCCTAGCCATACAACGCAGAAAGCTGAAACTAGATCTTTCCCTTCACTCCTTATTACAAATAATTCAAGATGATTAGACACTTAAATTGTAGACCTAAATACGCCATACACAAACCCTAGAAGCAAAACTTAGGTAATCACCCATTCCACAGGGCATAGCGCAAGGGCAAGGACTTCATGTCTAAAAACACCAAAAGCAATGGCAACAAAAGCCCAAAATTGACACCAAATCGGGACTCTAAATTACACTAAAGAGTTTTCTGCACAGCAAAACCAAACTACCATCAGAAGTGAACAGGCAACCTATAGAATGGGAGAAAAATTTTTGCAATCTTACTCATCCTGGCAAGGCTAATCACACCCAGAACCTACAAAGCAACATCAAACAAATTTCAAGAAAAAAACCAAACAACCCCATCCAAAAAGTGGGCAAAGGATATGAACCGACATTTCTCAAAAGAGGACATTCCAATACAGCCAACCAACACATGAAAACAATGCTCATCATCACTGGCCATCAGAGAAAATGTAAATCCGAGCATACCCATCTCACACCAGTTAGAATGGCAATCATTAAAAAGTCAGCGAAACAGCGTCGCCCTGGTAGACTGGATGTGGAGAAATAGCGAATCACTTTTACACTGTTGGTGGAACTGCGTAAACTAATTCAACCACTTGTGGAAAACAGTCGGCGATTTTCCCTACCACACGGATCCTAGAACTACACGAAATACTATTTGACCCAGCCATCCATTACTGTGTATATACCAAAGGATTTAAATCATGCTGTTATAAAGACACATGCACATGTATTGTTTATTGCCGGCACTAATTCACAATAAAAAGACTTGGAATCAACCTCAAATGTCATCAGTGACAGACTGGATTAAGAAAATGTGGCACATATACCACCATGAATACTATGCAGCCATAAAAAGGGATGAGTTTGTGTCCTCTTAGGGACATGGATGCAGCTGGAAACCATCATTCTCAGCAAACATCGCAAGAACAGAAAACCAAACACTGCATGTTCTCACTCATGGTGGGAACTGAACAAGGAGATCACTTGGACTGGGGAAGGGGAACATCCACACACCGGGGCCATATCACGGGGAGCGGGGCGGCGGGAGGGATTGCATCGGGAGTTATACCTGATGTAAATGACGAGTTGATGGGTGCAGCATACCAACATGGCACAAGTATACATATGTAACAAACTGCCACGTTATGCACATGTACCCCTACGATCTTAAACTGATACATAAAAAAATGTATAAGTAAAGTAATAATAAGAACTGACATACAAAAAAAAAAAGAAGACTGGAAATCAATGGAGAATAGAAAAAGTTTTCAGCTGGCAAATGAATAGCTTCCAGATAACATCAACCCACAACGACTGGAAATAAGCCAGGGGTAAGAGTAGTTCTTACTAGCCGGGCGATGGCTCAAGCCTGTAATCCCAGCACTTTGGAGCCCCGAAACGGCGCAGCGATACAGGAGGTCACGGGAAATCGGAGACCCATCCCTCGGGCTAACCACCGGTGAAACCCCAATCTCTACACTAAAAATACAGAAAACTAGGCCGGCGCCGACGGTGCGCCCGGGCCGCCTGTACACGTCCCGCTACAATCCGCGGAGGCCTGAGAGGCAGGAGAATAGGCGTGACACCGGGAGGATGGAGCGCTCTGTCAGTGAGGCTGGAGATCGGCCACTGTACTCCAGCCTCCGCGCGGACGAGCAGAGGCGGAGGAGCTGAATCCGTCGATGAGGAAACAAAAAAAAAAGAGTAGTCCATCTCCTACTCCAGATATCCCAGAAATGTCCCTGGTCCCGGTGTTCTAGTGGCTCACGCCTGTAATCCCAGCATTCTTTGGGAGGCGCCCGAGGCAGGTGATCACGAGTCAGGAGATTCGAGCCATGGTGAAACCCGTCTCTACTAAAAATACAAAAAAACTCAGCCGGGCGAGGTGTCGGGCACCCGTAGTCCCAGCTACTCGGGAGGCTGAGCAGGAGAATGGCGTGAACTTGGGAGGCGGAGCTTGCAGTGAGCCGAGATTGCGCGCCACTGCACCTCCAGCGCTGGGTGACAGAGGAAAACTCTGTTCTAAAAAAAAAAAAAATCTACACAGTAGAGTATGGAAGCTGACAACTATAACATCAATGTAGGCCCAACACGCTCTACCTACTTGACAAGACTCAACGGTGCAAACAGAGTCCTACTCATGACCCACAAGAATACCAAAAAGCCACAGAAGGATCATTCAAACTGCAGCCAACAACTGGAAACGGATAACAACGTGGCCTACACTGGAGATAAGACGAAGAAACAGATC